TATATATATATATATATACTATATATATAATTAACATATTTTAATATTTTAAGACTGCGGATTTCACACATCGCATATTTACGATATAAATATAATATCGAGAAAACAGTAGCGATGTGTCAGAAGAAGAAAAAACAGGTATGTCTATCAAAGTTATTTTGCAAGAACATACATTCTAAAAACTGTAAAACTCTTTATCAATCTGGTATTCTTCAGAATTATTTTCTTCGTACATGATTGTATCATCTATATTTGATGTATTCTTACTAAAATCATAAGCTTTTTCTCCACCTTTAGGTTGTTTATTATCCACTTGCTTAATCTCGCTCCTTGTCTGTTGAATGGATCCTTTCGTTTGAGGTTCCACATTTGAGCTCTTTAACTCTTTAACACCTGTTTATAAAAAGTAATAATTTCGCAAAAATAGAAAGATATATTTAAATCTATATTTTTTATTACATACATTTAAAAAAATGTTAAGAAGGATTAAAACAAAGATCCTCCATGCTCATTTTAATTATGTCTCATATGTAAATTTTAAATTATTTGTATAACTGGGAAATGGTAATATTTAATCTGAGATGAAAATAACTACAACAAAGTATTTTCTAGAATCGTATACTAATTTCTCTATTATATATTTAACAAAAAATTATGTATACTATTAATCATACTATTAATTAGAATAAAAAAGAATATTAAAATTAATAATTTACTATTTACGTTTCCAATTTGGCATCTTATCATGTTCCTCTTCCACTATCTCTTCCTCCTCTTCTTCCTCCTCTTCCTCTTCCTCCTCTTCTTCATCCTCCTCCTCATCCGCCTCTTCTTCTGCTTCTTCAACTTCACTATCTTGTGGGGTAGGTAATTTTCCATATTTTGCGTCCAATTTAGCTATTAATTCGGAATCATCAACATTTTCGATTTCCTCGTCATCTTCAATTTCTTCTTCTTCTTCTTCATCTTCTTCTTCATATTCTTGTTCAGCTTTATCTTTCACCTGTTCTCCATCGTCTTCTACCCCAGAAACACGTTCACCTTCTGATGTTTCTAATTCATAATCTTCTTCCTCTTCTTCTTCTTCCTCCGATGATATCTTAGATTGATCATGTCTAATATTCGTTTCTATGATTAAGAATATAAATAAACAAATCTGTTGTACAATTTATCAACAAAAGATATAAGAAAATACGACGAAAAACGATATATCATATAACATCGTACCTTCTTTACTTGTGCTTCGAGCTGGAAATTTTTCTTTTACTTGTATTACTTCATCTTGTGGAATCGGTTTTATTAAATCGGTTAAAGAAATATTTTCTTCTTGCAACTTATTATATTTGGATCTTAAATCTTCGTTATTTTTTACTTGCAAAGGTGTTTTATTTTCAACTTTCTCAATTGACTTAATTACTTGCTTAAGGTGAGAAGGTGAAATTATTGTTTCACTTCTTGATTGATCAGGTATGTTGGTTATATCATGCGGAGAACGAAAAGTACCAATATCAACTAAAAAATTGAATCATTCAGTGTTACATATTATTAATACGTATAAGAAAAATATAATTATTTATTGATTCTAAATTTGTTTTTTAAACAAGTCAAATATGTCTTAATTGAATTATGACCAATTATACTAAATGCATCTACATAAATAAATTACTTACCTGCAAAATTTCATTTTAATCTTTTTAAATATAATTATTTCAATATTTACATCTGATATTGATTCACATCTAATATATGTTATATTAATATTTTTTTTATATACCCTATAACTACAACTATAAAAAAATATGTTGATATGAGATAATGTGTAATGAAAAATTAAATTTACCGTTGTTCCACCGTCTAACGAGAACAAAATGCGCAGCAACAACAAGTGCAACACCAACTCCAAACTTCACAGCCACTGCAACCACCATATTATTTCTGATTGCTACCTTTTTTATTATAAGAAAATATCGTGATTAATATAAAGCAAATATATTTTAATATTTTATTCTATAATGATGATGCTCATATTATTTATCTATTATTTGGTTATTATATGTCATTTAAAATTAAACGAGATGAAAGAAGAGCATGGAGGATCAAATATAATGTCTATATTTATTTATGTAATTATTCGGGGATATTGTTGATATATATTTTGTTATGAACTATGACTTACCACTAGTAGGTTCTTCAACTTCTTCTTCTTCGGATTCACTTTCTGCATCATTTAAATTTTCTTCTTCAACTTCTTCACCTTCTATCTGATAAAAAGGCATCAATGACAAAATATCATTAATATAAATAAAATAATCGATGTTGAAAGAGATAATCCTAGAGAAATAGTTATAAATAAAATAATAGAGAATAAAATAATAGATGCACACAAAAATAATAGAGAATATGTATATACCTCTTCCAGAGGTTCAGCACTGTTGTCATCGATTTCATTAACGCCAGGTATACTTGGGAATTCTTCAGGTACATCATCATTCTTCTCTTCTGCAGAATTATCAACTGTACTAAATTCATCAAGTTCCATATCAATCATATTGTTTTCCTCATCTACATCTTCGTTCTCATCTGTCTCGTCAACTTCTTCTAATATGCCAACAGCGTCAAATTCTTGTTGCGCATCATCAACTTCTGAAGATATTATTTTAATAAAAAAATATGCTTGGAATTTTTATAATGTATCGCAATTCACGTACCATCTGATGTATCTTCAACTTCTACGTTATTCTTTTCTGCTTCTTCTTCTTGCCATTTTTCTTCTTCCTCTACCTCTTCCTTATCTTCTTCGTCGTCGTCGTCATCCTCTTCCTCCTCTTCCTCTTCCTCCTCTTGTGTTTCTTCTTCTTCGCCATTTTCTTCTATATCTTGTTCGATACTTCCATCATCTTCTTCTTTCTCAACTCTTGTTAACTTTTTTTCATCATGATCCACTTCCCTGTCTTTTTCCTCTTCTTCTTCCTCTTCTTCTTCCTCTTCTTCTTCTTCTTCCTCCTCCTCCTCTTTCCCCTCTTCATCCTCCTCCTCCTCCCCCTCTTCCTCTTCTTCTTCCTCTGCTTCTTCGTTAACTTCATGCTTTTCTTCTAGTTCGCCATGATTGGATGATGAATCATCTACCCAGCCTTCAAATATACTTGCCCAACGTGACGAAGCTATCGGCGTATCAACTTAAAAATTAAAATATAAAGATGCGATTTTAGCATAAATTTCTTCTTATGTTTAGTTAAGATTATTGCATATGTTGAAATATTTTATTCTTTTATTTACCATCTGTAGTTCCTCTATGTTCGAAGATTATTATACCAATTAATCCTGCAAGAACAGCCAATAAAATAAAAAATATAATTCGAGCACACCAATGTCCGCCTGTGCTGCTTTCTTTATAAATGTGAATAGTGACATTTTCGGCAGAAGTATCAGTCGGGCTGATCAAAGTAGGTGGTGGGGTACCGGTATCTTCATCATCTAAATATAATTAAAAAAATGTTTAAGTTATTAACAATTTATTTTTGTATATGAACTTAATAAATAACAAATCACAGGGCACGAGGAAATAAAGAGTTTATTATTATTTTTAAATATTGTTAAAAGGAACAAAGAAAGAGAGAAAAAGAGAGGGGAGGGAGAGGAAAGGGAGAGGGAAGGAGGGGGAGGGAGAAGAGGAGGGGGAGAGAGAGAGAGAGAGAGAGAGAGAGCTCTTTCAATATCGAGTTTAAAGTGAATATATGAAATAAAATCTTGAGAATGCAATATTAAAATCACGTATATAGACGCAATAAATAATTATTATTTCAATTAATAATTAATTTTCTTAATGAAAAAATGTAAAGCTGATATCGTGATATGTATAAGAGATAAGCAATAACGTGTACAAAAAGTAGAGCAAAATTCAAAAATAGTTGAACAAGAAATGCTTTTGGACTGGATAATACAGTTTACTCTATTTTTGAAAGCTAAAGGGTACGTTGGCTCGAAAGATACTAAAATCCACATTTTCTAATTCGAATGACTTTGCCAAATTTTCTTGGGTCAATCGAAACTTTATACATCTAATGAAAATTATACTGATAAATAATCTAATTTCACGTCAACTAACGACGTGATAAGTGCCTATTATTAATATTATTCTAATACTCCGATCTAAAAGAAATTGATTTTTAAAATAAGAGTTTTAAAATGAAAGAATTTCTTGAAATGTAATTTACGGAAATTGTATGAAACGGTTATTTTTAGTAAAACAGTTAAACACGATTAATTGTCGATCGTACACAATTGCGTTTTTATCAAAAGCGAACTGTTGCAATAAATATGTCGACCATTATTGTCATTGCAAGTCATATTGAAGAGTTGATGGATATGAAATGAATAAAAATCGACATAAAATATGTGTCACGCGCATATGATCGGGGCCAATGTCTGTCAATGGCCGTCAGTGGTTGGCTAGTTGCTGACAGCCGCAGTGCGCGGATATTTTTGGAACTTGACAGACGATCATAAGAATAAAACTGCATTATGTGCCCGTAATATCGTATGGCGCGAGGTCGTTTCGTTCCAACGTAACGTTCGTCTCGCAAATATACGCGCAAAATACGACGATCGTCAAGTTCATAAAATCATAATCACGAAATCTCATAATGGCGCGCAAAGCGTAATTCTTTAGTAAGAAATGTAAAAAAAGGAAGAACGTAGAAGTGTGACGAGATTTTGATCGATGTTTTCAAATGAAGGAAACGAGAGAAGCATACTTGAACTAAAGCAATGGCGATAGGAGTGCTGGGATAAAAATAAAAGAAACAAACATCGCTAAAAATATCGTACAACTATAGGAATCGTGTTACGAAGGTGCTGTGTCAATTGCACTCATTTTTACCTTTCTTACGTCGTTTTTCCTTCCGTTTCCTTGGCTGCACATCGCCGGACATTCTTCGACGAGTAAACGCTTTCTAGAGTACTGCTGATTGTCGCGAAGAATTTAAATTTTCAAAACGTCGATCGTTCACGGCACCACTCTACAAAAATTTGATTCGCGGATGGTAGATCGGCACTGCCGAGCGCGAAACATCCTAATATAAATTTATTCGATATCACTAGAGTAACTAGCCCGTTGCGCATGCCAACTGCAATTTATTAGATCTGTTCGTGTGTTCTTACACTTTTTGCACTCGGAATTATCTTTTGCTTCCTCTTCCTTTCTTTCTTCTCTTCAAACGCCCGAATATACATTTATCTCATTTTAAGAGCATTTTTGGGAATTTCTAACAACATAAACAAGTCTATTATTGTCCATTGTCATTGATTTATCAATAGAATCAATCGGTACTAATAAATCGGTAATAAAATCGAACGTATCGACTAATATTAATGAACTCATGGCGGGTGTAGGAATTTTATATTCTTGTCAGGGATCTCGCTTTCTTCATTGAAAATTTAATTTCATAATTAAAAAAATATATTTCGCATTACATTCTTTAATTACGACACAGTTAATTCTTTTTGTTATGAATATTGATTGTTTAATAACTTGTTGCCATATTTGTGTAGATTATTTCGAAAAAACAATCGAATTTATAGAGTGAATGCAATTAATTTTTTTCAATGTTTATTTCGATATTTTACTCGATATTGAGTGACAATTTGTAACCAAAAATTATTTCAAGATCACGTAGCCTTCACGATTCTCGAAATTACGAAAGCAATTGTTTTATACACATAAATTGTTTCATTCATAGAAAAATCTTACAGAATTTTTATCAAAAATTTTCTATATATAATACACGTAAAATTGTTTTCCACGCTCTCTTTTCTCATTCAAATAATTTCAAATCGAAAAGAATTTCTTATTTCATATATCTCGTTATTGTCCAATAGCATCTTAATTTTTCCAATCATCATAAAGAATTTGTATGTATTAATTACAAAAGATCATTACACGACTTCAAATGAATGTGGATGTTGATGCGAACGCATAAAAATGCGTTAGTTATTGTACATAAAAGGACACGTTTCGTTTATTGCAGGAAAAACTTATGTACAATATTAAAATACACACAAAAGTGTATTACAGAACATTAGTTTTTCTTTTATTTTAATTAAATAATATATTATATACTCCTATACAGCAGAAATGTCCAAATTATATTAAAGAGACAGCCTAAAGATATCACAATACTTGTAGGATATTCATATGATATATTTAGGATATTTCTGCTATGAAAGTTTAGTATATACATCATATACATACACGCGTACACGTATGCATATATGTATATATTGTATATAAATGTATATGTACATAATGGTCTCTATAGATTTAAGAGAAAACATTCTTGAGTCCACGACATCGATTTTAAGGCACAGTCTATGCTAAGGTTTTCTACAAGATATAGTAGTTGGGTGAACACAACAAGAGAGATTATATAAAAATATTAAATTATTAATATAAAATTAATATAAATAATACCGTTCGTAAGTAGAATTACCACATATACCTGCATCAAATTTTTCATCAAAATATATAGAATGGGACAAATTAATTGTATTCATTGCGATTTTTAAAGATGAATTGTAACTTTAAATCTTTTAAATCGTATGTAATAATTTATCATGGAATTTTTTTTTACCTTTCAAACTTTTAATAATACATAAAAAATTCCGTAACAGTGCTTTCTAATTACAAACGATAACATAAGCGTTTTTGTAAACATCTTGATTATTTGCTGTACTTAATACGTAAAAAAATTATATTCAATTTGTAAATAAAAAATGCAATGCAGAATTAATATTATCGGAAAACAAGAGAATACAAGATTAAATTCTTCCAATGAAAATTTATTGCGATTATAACAATTTTAAATAAACAATTAACTTTAATAATCAATTATATAAACTAAGTTATATTTTCCTTTCAAGTACAAGGTGTACTTGTGACATTGGCTGCGTTCAGCAAAGAAAACTGATCAATGAGTGCTCACTGATTCTTTATTGGTTCCTACATTTAGATCCAGCGAAGAAATAAAGGCAAGAATTAATCGTATTAAAGAATTATTGAGCACTCACTAATGTTTTCTGTGCAAAACGCAGCCCATTAATTGGTTCGATCGTATTTTATTTTGAAGATGATACTTGTATTTCTCTATATCGTACAATAAAGAAAAAAATCGCGCGCGCGCGATATCATACAATAATAAACTAATATCATGTAAAATTGTTCACTAATTTGCATCTAACAGTTTTACTTAACGATTTATATAATATTACTATAATATTTTCTACACTAAATAACGAAAAAATTCTATATACAAAGGCCTTATATGGATATGTTAAGTTTTCAAACTAAGTTCACACACACAGTATCTTAATCTCGCTCAATATATTTAGATAATTCAACTATTTTATAAATAATTTGATTTATCTACAGATTTACTAAAGTATCTTAAATCTTATAACTAGCAAATAGATAAAAAGATTAAATGGAGATTTATTTCCTGCATGTGGAAAAGAGATTTCTGTACACGCTGTACATAACTAATGTTTATAAACTGTGTATAATATTTATATAATAATTGAACGATAACTATATACCTTTGCCTTAACAACTTTCTTGTTATTGTAATGTTATTATAATTGTTCTCTACTAGAATGGAGGGATTATAGTTGTAATATTAGTATGGCTTGTAGAGCTATTTGATTTGACATAAGAGTTTCACATCACGAAACGTATAATTTTCAGTTACAGTTGTTTTCACAACTCTATTTACGCATTATAAATCATTGTTATATGAATATGTATAATAAAGTTATTTTCTTATATAGCCTCATCTAAACAGATACTTTTATATTTATTACATTTTTCTTCATGCTCTATCAGAAGATGAAGAAACGCTTTTAGGCTCATTCACAAACATACATTATATTTTTCTTGCATTCTCTCTCTCTCTCTCTCTCACTCTCTTATTTTATTTATATAATTTTAATTTATTGCAACAAAAATCAAATATTGTCAATACTTTTCAGAATTGCTCTGAAAAAATTATTATAAGCAACTAATCTTTTTTACATTAAGTATATGTGTGTTTTATTATCTTTAACACTAATTAATTGATTCATATCAAGAATGATCTATGATTCAAAGAATTAATCAGATAATTACTAAACAATTTTTTTAAATAGTTAATTTTAACTTGATGCAAGCATTACAAAAGTATATTGCATGACCTAATCTTTTTTTCATTCATTAGAATAAAATCGAACATAATTTGCTATAAATAGCAAAATATAATTATCATCATTGTAGTCATACAATTAAAGATATAGGCTTTTAATAAATGCCGAATGTGTTCTAAGAAGTGTAAAAAGATTTCAAATTAATTAATTATAAATGATATCTTAAATAGAAAATTTGCAGCTAAGATAGTTTAAAAGTTATTACGAATGCTGATTACATATTCTATCACAGAAAATTGATCAAATATTCATTCAATACATAATTATAATATAGTATCGTACAATACACAAATAATATATAAAAACAAAACTTATTAACGTAGTAAAGTAATATTCAGCACAGTTTGGGAGTGCAAGATCTTTTTGTTATATTTGTTATATAATTTCTTTTCTAATAAAAATTAACAGATCTAGCATTTTTTCGCACATTTAACTTTTTTGTTTTTATGTAAAAATCTATATTAAAATAACTAATAGAATATAAGAGTTGATAATGAAAGAAACATATTCTTGAATATATATATATATATATATGTTTCAAACTATTTTATAATAAAAAAAAAGAATTTACAAAATAATAAATGCAATAAAAAAAATTTACTTTTGTTTAGGCTTTTATGAAAAAACAAAATAAACAAAATAAATGGCGAAAGAGTCGTCGCATAATATATATAATTAAAGATAATAGTCATAGATACATAAAATAAAATAAAAAATATAACGGCGCATATTAAAATATAAAACAAACAAGTTTCGGCTGCTGGATTGATGAGCCCTCCTCAGATGTAAAAAGAATATAATATAAAAGACATAAAAGAATACAACAACAAAATAATAATAAATCGATAACATTCAGCAGCCAAAACTTGTTTGTTTTATATTTTAATATGCGCCGTTGTACTTTTTATTTTATTTTATGTATCTATGACTATTATCTTTAATTATATATATTATGCGACGACTCTTTTTCGCCATTTATTTTGTTTATTTTGTTTATACATAAAGAGTCTAACCGCTGTTATTTAATTTTATGAAAAAAATTAATTTATTGAATTTAGTGCCTGTACGATCAAATGTCTTTCCCTATAATAATTCGATTAAATTTATAAAAGTAATAATACAAAAGAATTTATACAAGCTATGCTATAGCAAAGATATGTTTGTTTAAAAGTTTTGAAACTCTTTACTAAATTGTAATCAATTCTATTTGCAACATTAATAAGCCTTTTTATTTTTATTTTATGTATGTATTTATAATGAATTATATTAAAAATTGATGGAATTATACGTGAAAGATAACGATAATTGTGTATTCAATTACAGTGATTTTTCTATAGTCTAGAATAATAACTATTACACAATATTACATAAACTAACGTTGAGTGTTTTTATATCTGCGAGAACTCGATTTTTCAATGAATGAGATTACAAGTTGTGCAATAACACAGCCAATGTCATGTTTATGCACATACATCTTCAATATATTGAAATGAGGTGAGATAATAAATAAATAATCAATAAATAGTAGAGATTTCTGTCATGACAAGATGTTACGTTCTCTGCACAGCATGGTAACAAATCAAGATATGTTAAATTACATTGTTAAAATTCTCTTGTATTTACCTATACTGTCAGAAATGCTTTCTTTACATGTAAATGAAGCTCGTGGTTATAAACAAAATTAAAAGTAATGAATGATTTAACTGAGAACTAAGTTACAGTAGTTACTTAAATGTAATGAACGTGTACATTAAATTTTATATACATGTACACAAATATACTTTTCAGTTATAAATACATTAAATTTAATGTAATGTCATGAAATTAAATTTAAATTGTGTAACCTAAAAGTATATTAAATTTCAT